AAACGGCTGCAGAGGCCTCGCCTTCTGTTTCGCCATAAAACCTCCCGTTTACAATTTGCTTCCGATTACTAAACTTGGGATGTGGATAAATGGAAGAAAGTGTTGTTTTCAGACGAGACAAAATTCAATCTTGATGGCCCAGACGGTTTTCAGCAATACTGGCATGCAAAAATGTCCCAAAAGTTCTCAACACGAGACAGTGGACGTGGATCAATTATGGTCTGGGGTTCATTTTCGTACAATAGAACTCTTGAGTTACAGTAGATAAAAGGCCGTGAGACTGCTACTAGTTACATTGGCATATTAAGAAAGGCATCGCTGATTACTGAAGGCCCTCATCTACGTGGAGAAAACTGGATTTTCCAGCAGGACAATGCTGCAATCCACAACGCTGTCCAGATCGAAACCCAATCGAGAATGTTTGGGGATGGATGGCAAAGGATGTTTATAAACATGGATCGCAATTTGAAACTGTGGTTGCTCTTCGTGCTGCAGTTTATGCATCTTGGGCAAGCATCCCAAGAACACCTCATGCAGAAGTTAATAATGATTATGCCAAAGCGAATTTTCGAAGTAATTCGCAAAAATGGAGGATATACTGAATATTAAATTGTCGTTGTGACTTATTTGTTCTGTATTTGCTATTTTTATTTACATGGTCTTATCTTTATGACCAACCAAAAAAATCCTTTTTTTAATGTTTGTTTAAATTAATCAATTAAAAGCTTAAAATGTTCACTTGTTTATTGATAAACTACATTTTCTAATTAATTGTAAATGTTTTGCAAATATATTCTGATTAAAGTAACAGTATTTTATACTTTTTTAAAACCCTTTTGTATCAGGTGTTAAGATTTTGACCAGGGGTATATAATTACTTGTCACAAAATAAAATCCTTGCCTTGGTAAATTCTATCAGAGGACGAAACGCGTCGGCTAAGATAAGTTTTCCTTTTGTCTTTATTTATATTGTCTTTTTACAAATATATATTTTATTTGTAACTGAAATTTCACACATACTCACGCGCACACACGCACATATGATTAAATAAGGAAATTTGTACAAAAGCATATTAGACTTATAATTATTTTCTGAATTGTTTGTTATTTATTAAATTTACTGTTTAATAAATGGAGCGTCTACTCTAATATGAGTATCCACTAAAAATAACGTTTAAAGTGATAACACACACATATATATATATAAAGGGTGTTCGAATCACTTGAACCGATTTTAAATTAAGTTTAATCGTCTAATAAGGATTTGTGAATCATTATTACTCCCATCCCCAATTTTACATCTTTAAATAACCTGCAAAAGGTTGATAAACCTTAAGAAACAAATCAGTCAATCAATATTAACAAATAACTACATGCATAATCATTAAACTGGGCCGTCCTGGGTATGACAGTAAACTACATCCGGCAGCAAAGCCTCTAATCGGGAGATTTTGAGGTGCGTGAAACCATCTCTTAATTGCTGTTGTTCCCAGGTCTACCCTGACACGGAGTGGCACCACCGGTTAGGGCCCCGGCTATGGATAAATAGTTACCCCCCAACCTAAGCTGGGGCCAAAAGACTATAAAAATATAAACAAATTTTTATAGTAAAAATATCAGCAAATTATTTTCATAGTAAAAAAAATGTCCAGCAACACATTTTTGTTAAAGAAATTACTAATGCTCCCAAGAAAATTAAATTTTGGCATTAAATGACCCATAAGAAGTTAATATGCCGCTAAACAAGCAGACATTAAACTGAGTAAAACTTTGTTTAATAAAAATGACTCGTTATATATCTGTTATATACCCATTATATTCTCATTATATATCAGTGATATAATCGTTATTCTTTTGTTATATACCCCTCATATACACGTTATGTACACGTTATATATCCGTTATATACCCGTTATATACCCGTTATATAAAGAGAAAGGCGTTAAGAAGTAGATGGTATTATTTATCTCATTTCTGGTTACGTGGCTCACTCATGTTGCTGGTGAAAAATCTTGTTTAAATAAGTCATTTTTGTCACACCCAAAATTACACGTGCACAAATTTTATATTATTTGCCGACCTTTTCTTTCTCTCGTTTCTTTTCTCTTACTTTTTTTTTTTTTTTAACAATATCAACAGTTTATAAAGTACTTAATGGAAAAAACGAATCCTGTAAGTAAATTAAGTCAAAGGTTTTCTTAAAATCATTGTCGGCATTACAAACATCCTTTCAGTTTAGCAACCGGGCATCTTGATTATTATACAAATATTGTATCTGTGGCAAATGGCGTCAATTGTTAAAATGTTTTAATAGTGTGGTGCAATGAAACAAACGTCTTTTTCAATAAAGCGGAGGTAAAGAATTCGTAACTAAAATAGATTCCAATGAACCGTTTACTTAATCCGTTCCTTTCATATTTTTTAGATATTCAATAGTATCTTGGATTCATTGATTATTCTTGATATTAGATAAATCTCTTTTCACGTTAAAACTTTTACGCGTTTAATATGAAAGTGAAGTGGAAATATCTCTCGGAAGAAAAAGATTAGCAACAGAACGACGAAGACTACGACGACAAAGTCTATTTCAAGACCAAATTGAAGCAAGACGATCACTTAATAGACGAAGGTATCTGAGTGCCTCACATAAAAAGGTTGAACAAATAAGACTGCAATCTAAAAAACGTAGGAATTGATTACTTAAACGGTTCATTTTGTTTGGGAAGTAACTTTGTCTAAATACAATTAAATATTTTATTCATATAGAATATTAAAACGACTAAGGGAAGCAATCGCTCATAAATTTAGTAACTTAAATTGATTTACCCTCCTGGGACAGGAAATATATAAATACCCTTGCGACAGAAAATATATAAATAAATACACATGAACAATTAGTCTATGATTTGATAATCAAACTATTTCTCGCCTTAAGAGTAACTCAGACCATTACTACTGCCCGATCCTCATTAGGTGCAAGATACTAGCACACTAGTTTAAGCTTAGTTAATATCTATATTGGGCGTATATCATAGAAACATGACACCCTTTTATGTAAGTATTCGTTTTTCACAAGTACATTTTTAGCATTGTGTGAAACTAGGATGAACAGAAACGATATCTACTAAAATAATGATGAGATCTATTTCAAAGACCTTCATTGCTATGATGTCTTATGTTTCTACAATTATATCTTAAATTATTATTATTATTATTATATAAAAATGACACGCGGAGTCTTGTAGCTGATTGAACTCTAACAGCTCTCGATGAAGGAATAATTAAATTCTTACTTTCAATACGTCAAAAGCAAACTAGAATCGTTTCATCAACACCGACCAGACTGTGTTTTCTGCAGTCATTATGAACGGTTCCCAATGAGGCTCAACTGTGCTGTCACGTTTGAAATATCGAATCCCATAGCTCGTAGCAATATTCAGGTTAAGAATATGCAGCATAGATGCCAGCTAGTAATCGATGTTAATGGTTGTAGCACACGTTTCTGACGTTGTTATGTTTTCAAATTGGACCGTAAGCCATTAAAACAACGCTAATTCAATCCCCTAATCCAATACTCTGTTCTTTTGTACAAAAGAAAAATTCCCATTACACATTCTAAAATTTAGAGAAAACAAAGGAAAAATTAAACCTGCAATAATCTCGATATACTATAGGCAAAACGAAAATAGTCATTAAAAAAATAATTCGCCAGTACTTTTCATTTAAGATTTCCAATTAATGTTTTAGATTTATCACTTATTTTTGTGGTAGGATCCACCTAATAAATATGGTTGGTACCGGGAAGGAATCAAGAGATTCAACCAGAGACTCTGCCCGACTGCGACTCAGTCAACACATTCAACGGTCTTACCAAGAATATACAAAAGACTATATGTAAATATTGTGTACACATTTTTGTTTCAATACATTTTGTTCCAAGTACCTTTTGTGTTGCATTATTATTCCATGCATTAGTCAAGTTTCAACACTTATAATGTTCAAAACATCTAACCATATATAGGAGGAATAATACGCCACTACCTTTTTTAAAAACAATGCTGTTTATGAATTTTCGCGTCTCCAATAATAGTAATAGAAACCGAACATTGTACTCTTACATTGGCAATACATGCACAACATTCTCTCGTAGGTTAACTTGTCACTTATCGAAACTTTGTGCGTATATCAATCATTTTATCACAAAAATGTCAAACATTTTATTCTTACATTGGCCACGCATTCACCACACGCTCTCGTAGGTTACCTTGAAACTTATCTTGCGTATATCAATCAGCTATATCACAAAAATGATAATTATGAACACAAGAAAAATATTAGTAGATAATATTGGTATATAGTACTACATGGAAGGAAACGCTCAAAATACTAAAAATTATTCTCAAAATTATACACAAAATTATTATTATACAAAAGAAAAATATGGAAACATCAGCATCCCAGAGCTACAAAAGATTACTTTGCGTGGAACTACACATATCACCCGCAAAACCCTCTCCATTTAAAAGAAATGTCCCAAAAGTGCATCGATAACTCTCCTACGGTGCCATTTTTTTTTTTTTAGACCGTCTCGAGAAATTGGGAATTAGGCATTTAATATTACTCTCTAGCAGGATGATACCACACACAATAATAATTAAAATTTCACAGTTTTTCTATGTTAATATTCTGATGAATCTTAATTCTTAAGCAAATGATTGAGTAAACTCATGACCAGTTCTATGACGATAAAATATCCGTAGAAAATTCCCCTGTCACATCGTTAAATATTTGAGGTTAACAACTTCAGCAAAATATTGCAATAACAATCATAAATATGAATGCAGTTCGTGATTTTAAGAAATAAGAGGATACAAATAAAAGATTTAAAATTAAGAACTTTTTTCCATTTCACTGAAACAGCCGTTAAACATTTCTTTCTTTTTCTCACTGAAATCAAATAGTATTTTTCCCCTCGATCAAAACGTAATAGTCCATTATTTATGAGGAATTTGCAGGTGACGTTGAACGCTTTTATCTTACATTATTTATTTCTTTCTTTCTTGCGTTCTTTCTTTCTATTTCTTTCTTTCTTTCTTTCTTTCTTTTCATTATTTATGAGGTATTTGCTGGAGACGTTCATATTTCTTTTTCTTTTCTTTCTTTCTTTCTTTCTTTCTTTCTTTCTTTCTTTCTTTCTTTCTTTCTTTCTTTCTCTCACTGAAATTAAGTAGCGTTTCCCCTTTTACCTCGCGATCAAAACGGAATAGTCCATTATTTATGAGGTATTTGCTGGAGACGTTAAAAACATATATTCCCGCCTTTCTTCCTTCCTTCTTTCTTCCTTCTTTCTTTCTTTCTTTCTTTCTTTCTTTCTTTCTTTCTTTCTTTCTTTCTTTCTTTCTTTTTTTCTTTTCACTTAAACCAAATAATGTCTTTCCCCCTCTTTCCACTATTATTTATAAAGCATTTGCAGGGTGTAACACTATTTACCATGTTTGGACTGCTGTCCTCTTCTTTAGTGTCACGACATTTCGGCCGTTGTAGATTCCGGCCTTTTCAGGTGATATAGGTTGAAATTTCGAACTGAACACTTATGGAAAGACTTATTCACTTATCAACTGTGATCATTATACCTCAAACAATCAACAGAGGGAATGTATTTGACCAGTTCTTAACTCGGTATCAACGCTTATGACACAACTAATATGACTTGACACTAGTAAGTCTTATCGGTTCAACAAGTACAAATTAGCAGCTGATCTAAAAACTGATTCTTTCTGTTGTTAACTGGGGGAAGGAAGGCTGGTTAATTTAAACGCCCCTCCCCACCAAAATAAACGAAACTGATTACTATTAATCGTTTGAGAGAACCTTTTTTTTTTTTTTTTTGCTTTTATCAGTATAGCTTCAGGAGAGTGACCCGTTGCGACTTCTAATGTTAACCTCCAAGAGTGCGACTAGGTTGCGCTTTCTAATGCTAACCTCCAGAAGAGTGGCTCGTTACATCTTCTAATGTTAACCTCCAGGAGAGTGAATCGTTGTGCCTTTTAATGCTACCCTCCAGGAGAATGACTAGCTGCGTCTCCTCAGGCTAACGTTTTTCCGCTGCTTCAGAAAAATCATATCGAAGCAATTGCTAGATCTACTGCAAAGAAAGTTGATTCTCTTTATTGCGATAGACAGTTTTACTCGCCCGAATCTATCTTACATATTTATAAGTCTACCATTCGTCCAGTCGTTTGAATAATGCTGCCACATATGGTCTAGTGCTACTTTTATATATTTAAAGATCCTTGATAAAATACAAAGAAGAATCTGTCTTGAAATTGGTCCCGATCTGGTATCTCGGCTTTTGTCACTTTGTTAACCCACTGTTGTAATGTAGCTTCTCTGTGCATTTCCTATAAATATTTTCATGGTAATTGTTCGGTTACTTTTTGGTACCTATAATTTATAAAGCAGCTGACCTAGCAATGAATTCAATATAGTCTTGTCACTTTATTTAAGCAGAGAACATTAGCCTGAGAAAGCGCAACGAGCCATTTCCTGGAGGATAGCATCAGCCATGCTAAGAGAAGGCAGCAAGGGGTATCTCAGATGATTCTCTGTCGAACTCTCTGCTTGCAGAGAGGAACCCGGACGAAGCTCCGCCGAAGGGTGGGGTTTCGTTCGGGGAGGTTGACGGAACTAGCCCGCTTGGACGGGTTTAGATGGGTTTTATTTTTGGCTGGGCCTACGGGCTCAGACATACCCACATTAAAAAGGCCTTGTGCCACATTCGATCCCCGTGGGTGGATTGATAAACACCATCTCAGATGATTAATGGAGAGAAGTTTAGTTTTGGTGGCATTAAAATTAACAAGCCATCTTTTGTCCTAGTTAACGACGGACTTGAGGTCGTTTTGGATATCAGGTGCCATTTTGGCCTTATCAGATTGATAGGCCTTACTATCGAGGCAGGTGTAAATTGTTGTGTTTTCAGCGTCGATACCAAGTTTAGCGCTGATGTCAACAGGAAAGTCATTAATGAAAATTAATGAATTTAACTACAGTACTAAATTGGCAGCAAGATCACATTTTACAGTGGAAATGGCTAGATGTAACCGTAAGTTTTATGTTAACAGCTTCTTTTCTCACACTTCTCACTTGTGGATCTTTCTTCGGTTTCTTGTTTTCTGGTCAAGTTTGATCTTCAAAGATTTAAATGCAATGTCAATCGTTATCTTCTATCTTCTTAATTTCTCTTCTTTTAATTTTTATCGCTCATTAATAATGTTTTATTAATATTCTTTCACGCTCAATACCTCCTGCATGTTGGTGGCTTTGTTGTCTTGTTTGGAGTAAAAAAATAATTAAAAAAAACAAAAAACTATTTAATTATTTACTTTTTTAATCATTTCACCGCAAGCAAGGCGATAATGGATCCTAAGTCACAAGGGGTTACTGGGAGTTGAAGAGAAAAAAAAAAAAAAAAAAAAAAACTAGTGAGGAAAAAGCATAATAAATGAATAACTTCCTTGAAGACAGAAGATAGCGATTTAAATTTTGAAGATTGTAGGTGGGAGGGAAGCAAGAAACTAGAAGAGAGTTCCACAGGTGAGAAGTGCGAGAAAAGAAACGATTATAATAGAACTTATGGTTATATCTAGCTAATTCATCAGTAAAACGATGAGACGTAATCGCCAATCGTAAGGCGTAAATTCATGTGTTCGAGGTATCAAGGAGAAGAGCAATAGTCATTTTGAAAAATACAAAAATGTGTCACAAGGCCAAAAAATGGGGAAAGCTGGTCTTTAATCTGTCTTATTTTAAACTTAGTTAACCACTAATACTGACTCAAACATACCACAGTATTCCTTACACCAAAACAACACATTCTTACTTACTATTCTTACTACAGTCACCACAATACCACAAAGTCTCTATGAAGTCCTAAATCGTTCCCATATGTACAATTTGCTGTTGTATCAAGGAGGTGAGCGCATGAACAACCGCCATGAAAATATTTATAGAAAAGAGAAAGAAATCGAGTCACAGCGGTGGGAATGTGATTGAAGTCGAGGTGCCAGATCAGGACCGATAATATTACTGACCATTCTTTAAATTTTGTCAGTAATCTCGAGATATATAGCCGGGGCACCAGATTAGATACGGCAGCAGTATCCAATGCACGGATGAATGGTTGATTTATAAATGTGCAAAATGGATTCTGATGAGAAAAATTGTCTGTCACAACCAATTTTCTTAGCAGCATCCAACAAAATATCTTCGAATTTGTTGTCATTTTCTGTTCATATGTGAAGCCGACACGAGTAGCTGCCGAAAAGTTCTCTTTTGAGTTGCTTCTTGGTCGGGATGAGAATCTTCTCAGCAATCTACTTCGAATATAAGGTTGATTATAGAAATGGACGCTCGTGGCAAAATAAAAGTAAATGTTATATTTCAAACAAGGAATGTTTTCATGGAAGTCTGTACCATAATCGTAATAATAACTAATAATCGTCTAGTCCCTACGTGATACTAATAAAATGCATTATCATTTGATGCGATGACCTCTTCAAATCTATCAAATACTGCTACCTGATTTCTAAAGCTTTTGTTTTGTTGGAAAAACACTAAGTGCTTGAAGAGATTGAAATCCTTTGGGCGATATCAAGTGAGTCTAGTGGGTGCAGCAAAATTTTATGCCTCAGTTCAGTTAATTTCTGAAAAGTGCTTCCTGTAGCGTCTGGAGAGAAAATAATTTTCTTTTGACTCGAATTGGTGGCGTTAGTTTTCATCGTTTTTTTCTTTTTCTCCTGTTCTTTATTTTGATTTGTTTATTTTTTCATTGGGGTGGGGGAATGGGGGCAGTAAGAAATTACTATGACAGACCTCTAGTTCGGTAAATAAAAAAAAAAAAGAAAAGTAAATTAACCCTTCCCAAGTAAGTGACTGAAATCATGTCAAAGTGTATTGGGTGTTTTTCAGGAATGCCTGAGAGAATTGTCGATATCCAACGGCTATATAGAACGTTGATTATTATTGGAAACGATTCATTCTTTTGAGAAATTCTTACGAGTAAACGTTGATGAACACACCACAAAACAGCAAAGTTTCTGATATCTCTGATTTCTAGTCTTCTGATTTTTTTAATTTTTTATTTTTGATTGTCTTTTTCTTTATATCTTCTTTCCAGTTTTCTGGTTCCTATTTTTCCAATTTCCATTTTTTTAATAAATTTTTCTGATATTTGAATTTCTATTTTACTGGTTTCGTTTTTCTTAATTTTTGGGGGGTGGGGGTGGGGGTTGTGATTTTCGTTTTTCTGTTTATTGTGTTTTTTTAGTTTCTGTTTTTATAATTACCGTCTTTCTGATTTCTACTTTTCTGTTTTTTAATTTTTGTTTTTCTGTTCTTTTTTCAAATGCCTAATTTTCTATTTTTCTAATTTTCTTTTGTGCTCTTATTTTCAGTTTTCTGTTTTTCTGATTTCCATTTTTTTTTTCTAAATTTCTGTTTTACTTGTTTCGTTTTCCTGATTTTTTGTAATTTTTTATTTTCTGTACTTTTTTTTCTGAATTCTCCTTTTCGGTTTACTAACATTCTGTTGAATTTCTTTATTGAGAATATTAATGAATGTTTAATGACAAAAGTACACAGATGTAGGCTTTAAGAAAGTTTTATTCAACTGAGAATAAAAGGTTCGTGTATAGTGTCCTTTTATAGTTCCAGTAAACAGAAATAGCTCTCTTAAAGAGGAGGGTAACAAAACAAGGGGAGACCACTCTTGATTATTCATAAGAAAATGTACAAATATTTCTAAAAGCTGTTAAATAATTGTTTCAGATCACAATCTTATCCTTGGATAATGATTTCGATTCAGTTGTATTCAATTTATGCTGGTTCCGGATTATTCACTTTGTAGCAATGATTACAAGTACAACTGTTTTTCTCACGGCAAGTGCCATTTGTACAAAGTTTTTTTATTTTTATGTTTTGTTTTCTATAATTGCATGCAATTTTTAGACATAATTCGAAGAAGTCAGTCAACCGTGATCTTCAAAACTTAAAGAGCAATTACCGTGAAATTGTTATTTGAAATTAAGATTCTCTAATGCAACAAACTTATAATATCCCATCAAGTTTTGTGTATTAACAGGGTATTAGTTCATACGTTCAAAATATGTTTACATGTATACAAACATTTTTTATAGACCCTGTGCCTACATGTATGAATATGCTGGCGTGTGTGCTTGTTAGATAAAACAAAAACGAGATCTCATCCTGATGCGTGAAGACGCAATACTTAAAAAATAATAGACAGATGATACCCACAAACGCGAAAATCAAAGAAACCTAACAATGGCCGACAAACACAGCTCTATCAAAGAAACTATTATCGTATGCAAATGAGATAGACAAATATAAATAGAGAACAGCTGGTGAACGTAAGGGCGTTGCTTAGTGAACCCGTTTACTAAACGTAACGTGGAG